AGAAACACACAACAGGTATAATAATCAGCTCCCCTCTTTTCCTGCAGTGCATGCACACTGACAGGCTACCTCAAAGATGCAGCCAGCAAGACAGCAAGTATTAACAGTCATAATAATTTAGAAAAGGTGATAAAACTTCACTTGGAAAAATGAAAGAAACTTCTAGCTAAATTATCAATATACGAACTTATATTAAGTTTATGTACTGCTTATGTGTCAAATGAAGCATTGCCTATGAGAAGTTTTTGTGAGCCAATTAGATGAGAAATTGTATCATTTGCTTATCAGCTGAAAGCAATGATTTCTCAAATTATAATTTACCCAGCAAAATTCTGTGAACTCCGCCCTGCTCCCAAATGCACAAGTTTTTTTTTGAAATATTTTTTTTAGTTGTCAATGAACCTTTATTTATTTATATATGGTGCTGAGAATTGAACCCAATGCCTCACACATGCTAGGCAAGCACTTGGCCACTGAGCCACAATCCCAGCCCCACAAGTTTTTAAAATATATAATTACATGATAGAAGATAAACCCTGGGGTAAATAAAAGCTGAGAACATAGAAACCCAGCTCCATAGATGAGTAGAGGCGTTTGTGCTCTGGGGCTCAGGTGAGGCTCATGCCCCTGAGTCATTACCCCATAGGGATATTGGGTTTTCTTGTCAGTCATTTAAACTCTCTGAGTCTCAGCTACCTATAATTTGGAGATGCTAACTGTATCTCTTTCAGTAGGTCCTGGTAAGATAAAATGAGGAATCTCTTATTTAGGACAGCTTTTGGTTAATGTAAGGTGTTTAATCAATGTGATTTACTATGATTAACTAGATAAATATTTCCATTTCTATTTCAATATATATAAGCTTCCTTTCCCTAATCAGATTCTGTATATTTACAGGGTGTGTTTATGTCCATGTTTCAACAAACACATTAAAAAGATCTATAAGGATATATCCAATACAGGGCCTTGGGTTGTGGCTCAGTGGTAGAGCGCTTGCCTCACATGTGTGAGTAACTGGGTTCAATCTTCAGCAACACATAAAAATAAATAAATAAAATAAAGGTATCGTGTCCATCTACAACTTAAAAAAAATCTTTAAAAGAAAAGAATATATTCAATACATAGTTAGGGTTATAATAATCTGAGGAACTTTAAAGACCAACTGTTACAGATTTACTGTTACTGTTTCCATCTTTCCTGTTACAGATGTACAGTGATCCAGGAGGCAAAGCCTTGGGTACCACAGTTGGAGCCAGAGATGCATGCTAGGATAGGTCTCTCAACATCCTTCACTCTTCCAGACTGACTCTTTCTTCAGAAACCAAATGAAAAACATAATGCATATGCATACTAAATATTTGGAAAGAATTCTGAGAAAGAACAAGACAACAAAAATGTTACCCAAAAACTTAGTGAGATGTACCCTAAAGGAAAGGAAAGCTTGCTTTAGGCATACTCTCCTCCAAGCCTACCAATAACATTTTCCTAATTTACATGGATTCAAGTCAGTAAACATTTATTGAGCACCTACTATCTGTAAGATACTGAGGACGTGGTCCACAATTTTAGGATATAGCCAAAAAAAAAAAAAGAAGAAGCAAGTGGTTTTAAAAAAGGCAGATAGTAAGTATCTTGCTATTTTTCAAGTATTCGGATGGAATCCTAAGAAACTGCTGACATTTGACTTTTTATGAAAAAGGGGATGATTCAGTAACATGTCAACTTCTGTTTGGCTAAGTGTGTATACTTATACCATAACTAACTCACCCCTTTCCTTCCAACACCCATCTTCTAAGAGGGAGTCCAGCTTAATAAATACCACTCCAGAATTTCCATAAACATATACGTAAGCATATAGAAAAAGTGTGTATGTGTGTGTAAAATTTGTGGTTTTTGTAAATAATGGGATCATACTTCACATGCCTTTTCATTTTCATAATATTTTCAGACTTCTTTCTATACATGTATATTCATATCCTCCTCATTTTTAAGAGCTATTATGTAAGAGTGCATGGATACACCATAGATTTTAAGTATTTATAACAATGCTACAACAATATGCTTAAATATTCTTTATACTTGTGAGAGTCTATTCCCAAGGTAAATTTCTTAAAGAGAAGTTGCTAAATTGTAGAATACATAAAATTTTAGCTTGTGCAGATAATGATGCACTTGTAGACCAATTTTTACTTGTTCCAGTTGTATACAAAGCATCTGAAGGCCACATTTTAAAAGTTGGCTTTTTTTTTTTTTTTTTTTTTTTTGCATCTTGGGGAGTTTATGTCCAAAATGTTACAAGGGAAAAGGTGGAGATGGCAGAGTAGAGGAGGGAGACACCTGTGACTTGCCATAATTCTGTCTCCAGTTTGATGGCACCTGAATACCTTCTGCACATTCTCCAGTAAGCAGCCATGGGACAGGGAGGCACCTTGTAGATGTCCGATAGAAACACTGACTTAGACTAAAATTCAAAATTCAATAAAAACTTCAAAACAGGAGGGGGCAGTTTAGCCAAGGACCCCATGGCATTGACTGACAAGTGTGACATGAAGACCTGTTTTCCTGGATTGGTAATAAGCCTGTGAAGTTCTAAAACATAAAATACTGAAAACTCCAAAGTCCAGGAAGCTTCTACTACTTCCTAGTACTGTCCAGGTACAGTGCCAGACAAATGGACTTCCTGTGTTATCTATTTGGGAACTGTGCAGGTCTTGCTATGCTGGCTAGTGGCCCATCCTCAGTGGTGCTGCATAGGACAGTCTGTGACCCACCCTTAAGGTCTCCATTAGTGACTTTTCCACTTCCTAAGATGACAAGAGCTATGCCCAGAATGTTTTGAAAAGATATAATTTAAAATGGATCCATATTATTTCTATACATACCAAATATTCAAATAATCTGATCTGGGCTACACTATTAGGTTTTTCAAGTTATTTTCCTCCTCTTTTCTATCTCCCCCTCCCTCCCTTTATTTTAAATATTATCTTTGGCATGTCCTTAGGTTCTAGGGTGGACCCAAATGCAACTGTTTCTCCTAGAATTGCAACATATATTTAATTATTTCCAACTTACTATAGATTTAACACTTAAATTAATTATGTTATGGGTTTTTTTTTTCCCCTGTTCAGGTTCTCAAACTGGGGTCATTTGTTAAAGTTGAAGTAAACAGACACAAATTCCAGCTTGGTCTTGTCTTTTGCAGAACAGCCCCTCTGCCTCCCCATGAGCATTGCAGATGCCTTGACTCCTGGCTATACAGGTATCCCATAAGGTCTCACCTGAAACTTGGGACATGTCTTGACCCTCATCAGCATCCATTGTCTTCAGGTTATCTGAGAAAGAGAGGAAGGGATTTTTTAGTTGAAAGCAAAAATACTAATATGTGTGTGTGAGAGAGAGACAGAGAGAAAAAGAGAGGGGGAGAGAGAGATAAAGAACCCTTATGCTATTTAACAACAAGGTTATCTAGCAAGAATAATGCATTTTCCTCCTCACATACTTGCTGGAGTATCTGACTGGCACAGACCTTGATCCTTTTAAAAACAGCATTACAAAGATTTATAAAAATATCATTACAAGCACAGGAGGACCAAATTTGTTATTTATTGTTAATTTCCTACTGCATAATAACCCAAAATGCAAACTGACTGCAACAAAATTAAGCAGAAAATTAAATGGCCCTGGGTCATTGTAGGCACAGAATTCATTCTCTTGGCTGATCCATAGTTATGTTCTTTCTAATTTACTGAGCATGCATCGATGAACCTTGAGTCAGCTTGGTGACACGCGTACAATCAGCAATCAAAAAACGAAGCAATTTGCTGAAGAATGTCTCATTTACCCAGGCAAGGCTGCATATCTGAGCAGCAACTGCACTACCTCCATCAATAATGAATACACCTCCAGCCTGGCAGATGGGCAACGCAGGCACTGCTGTCCTTGTCCCTCACTCTTCCTCAGACCTGGCCCTCAAACTCTACCAGCAAGCACTCTTATACAGGGAGAAGTGACGGCAGTGCAAGCCAGGAGAGGGCCCAAACCTTCCTGTTTTGCTGACAGGGGGCTGGCTTCTCAGATCGGTTTAAATTTACAAATACAAACACGAGAGATGCTGCCCTATAGTGGCCACAGGGAATGTACCACAGGCTGCACTGTGAGGCACTACAAATGGGAAGGGACCCAATATCAGTGGGGTAGAAGTTAGGGGAGTGCTGTGCTTTGCACTTGGGCTCCTGGCCTGCAACTCTCTGGCACCCATAATATATGACATCTGGTAGCTCTGTTGATAAGAAATCTGTGGCCAGCAGCAAGTGACCTCAACAAAGTCTGCTCATTATGCTTAGAAAGCCTTTGGAAGAGATCCCTCACTAACTAGCAAACTGAAGCTATTTGTTGACTCTAAACCAGCCCTCACCCCCGTTTTTTCTTTGCTATCTCTGTCTCTTGGGTTCAGATGTGTGGATGTGAGCTGAAGCCTGTTTTCAGCAGAGATCTGGAAACTGATGGAAGATTCAGGGTCCTTATCCTCTCTCTGTTAGGCTGAATAGTGTGTGGGAAGATATTTAAAATTTTACGTATTATAGTTACATGTGTTATACATATAACCTTATATAGCTTTACATCTTTAAAATCTTTAATGGCACAGGTGGAATATGTATTCTCAATTTCAGGAATATCAGTATTAGTCACAAAGAGGACATAAATGACAGTTCCTTTTTCCTGTATGGGGAAAGGTTTTGTCTATTTTTGAAAGGCACTGAACTGGTCTTAGTGTGCTGTGAACTTTCAAGGCGGGTGCATGGCTTAGGAGAACTGCCTGAGCCAGAGAAGAGAAAAAGACCCTATATCCCACGTGTGCTCCAGTCCCAGAGTGAGGGTCACCAGCAACTGATACAGGACAAAGCAGACCTAGAGCCAACCACAGAAAACCCATGTGCCTAGCACTGCCTGAACTTTTACAGTAAAAAAGCAATATCCTACGATTCTTCTGAAACAGTCCAAACATTATCATAATAAAAAAATGAGACTCAACTGAGAACAATCTTAGTACTTTATGTATAGCACTCACATGAGAACTAAGGACTTAATTATGGTGGTATGTAACAAACCCCTTCCCAACTGTCCCAGCATTGCTGAGTGAAGCCTACAGAAGTCAAATCTTATTGGAACAATGACTTGAACAAAATTTCTGGAATGCCTACTTTGAATTTTTTGCTACATGACAGATAGAGGTTTTGACAACTTAAAAAAGAAAAAAAGAAAAAAACGGAGACAATGCTTTTAATTCCCACCACTTAAAACTAATGATTTTTTTTCCATGTGTTTCTGTGCTCTTTTAAAAAGAAAGGACATTTGTATTCCAAATGTACTATTTCAAAATATTTTTCATTTAATACACATCTTTTTATTTAACCAATATGCATCATTGCCATCATTATTTTTAAGGTCCATGGCCACTCAATTGATTTATTTAACAATTGATTAAAACCTATTATTGTACTCAAGCTAGTTCTCATTAAAAGATGAAAATGTTTCCAAAAGCCTGGCTAAAGGCTGCCCCACCCAAGCACCAAAGGAGAAAACACCTGCCAAGAGATGGTGGATGACCCTCTAGATGTGCTGTCTGGGGCAGAATTGCTGGACACTGTGTTCCACTGGACACATTGGCCTGATCGTTCAGGTGGCAAGATGTGTGAATATATTACAAGCCAGAATCTCCACCATCTGCCCTGTGGCTGGTCCCCAGTCACACCCTGCCCTGTGGTAACCCCTACTCCAGACAGTCATGTCACAAAGAGAATGCAGATGTCTCTTGGAGGGAACTGGGGGGAGAGGGGAAGGTGAAGCTGCAGAGAACACCACCTAGAGCGAATTTAGTGAGAACCCTGGGGACAGTGGTGCATGTGAGGAACCTGAAGCTCTATCTCTGTGCTTTGTCATTAAAGCTCTAGAACCACGTCCCACCCTGGTAATGTGGATCTTTGTGATACAATCCACCACACTTCAATTTTCATGCACACTTTCAGCCAAACCTTCTCTGGCATTGGGGACTTCATGGACTTGTGACCAGTGCAGGTACTCAGGGGCCCATGCTCAGAGGGTCCCTTGGTGTAATGTCTGTTCATGCCCTGTGTAGAAATTCTTAATAATTTCTGAGCTGGGGCCCAGGAGCCAGTCTGTATAGGGCCAGTGACTTCTGTGGATGACATGTCTCACTTCACAGTATTGACTTAACAAGCTTCTCCAAACTCCCCTCACTCTAAATGTGCATCATCACTTAGGATGATAAAAACAGTGATTTGAAGGGTACTTAAATCCCAACCCATCCCCTCGTAACCATGAGTCCCACCTAGGCTTTGCATCTAGTTTATAAAGCACCAAGTTAGCCCCTCTGATCCCACGTGGAAGGAATGCAAGTGTCAAACAGAAAATGGGATTGGCCTCAACTAAAAAAGGAGCTGATTCAGTGAATGGAGTTAATCACAAAAACAAATTTTTGGTGTGTTTTCACAAAGTTTCACCAAAATGAAAAATCAAGACCATTAGGTCTATAAAGGGAGATGCCAGAAGGAATTATTTCACAAAAACATTCTGTGATTTTCTACTTTGCTTGGGAAACCCAAACAATTCCAGGCAAAAGCTAACCAAATCAATAGAAAACCCAGCAATATCAGTACACTAACTTTTTTACCTGTGCAATTCATATAACCATGAATGCTTTTATTGTTTCTTTGGAGCAAGCAGTTCTGAATCTTGCACAAGGGGAAATAGATGCAGAGATAAGTTTAGGCCAATGTGACAGAGGCTGTTCAGGGCTGACCCTGTAGGGGAACTGACAGTGAAGCTTCTGTTAGAATCCACCATCTCTCCAAATCTCTTTGCCTTTCCTGTGTCTCCTTCATCTCCTTCTCCTCCCATCTCTCCCTCTCTCTGTCTCCCAGTTACTCTCTCCCCTGTCTACCTCTTTTTTCCTTCCTCTGTCTCTCTCCTTCTGATCAAACAAGGACGAAAAAATCTTACTTTCCTGTTTCATTCAAAGGAGTCAATGTATCATCAACTTTAGAGAACAGGAGCAAAAGAAGTAAGAATGGACTCCAGGCAGGGAAGTACAGACTCACTGTCTCTGCAGACACATGCGGGACCAGGAGCCTTTCCTGAAACCACCTCCTGCACCTTGCCTTTCCTCCTTCCACACAGAGTCTGGGCTGGAACCTGGCTGGCTACGGGAGAGAAGCATCCAACAGCCCTGGGCAGTTGCTGCTTCCAGGTGAGGAGATGGGCCTGTCTTCCTTGGAGTTGCCCCATTTCTAACCCAAGCAGCCCAGGGAAGGACACAACCAGAGTTCCCTAAGCATGCAAGCTTGCAGGGCCACAGGGGAGCAGCTTCCAAATGTCCTTCAGCTTCCTCCAGTGAGCACCTCCCTCCCCGGACTTTCTTTGAAACACAGGGCCTGTTGCAGAATTCTCATATGCTGAGTCTGGATTAATGAATTTAGAAGGAAAATCCAGACTCCTGTGAAGATTACAACTTTCTTCCTTTTCAAGCTATTAAAGAACTACCAAGTGTGGGTCATGCCACACTTCCTGAAGGAAATACTGAGGGTCCGTCAAAATTAGCCCATTCGCTGGTAGCATGCAGTACTTATCACATGCCTTAAAAAACGCTCTCTGAGATTTAAACAATTTCCTTGTGCTTTTTTGTTTTCTAAGCAAGTGCCTCCTTCTCATCCCTGATACTGTACAGGTAATTCTTGCACAGTGATGTTTCATTATATTTCTTGCCTTGTGTATGACAGAATAAAGCAGAAATGGATGCTAGTGCTATCTAGCTTTGTTCAGGCAATGTATTAAATGTCTTGCATTGAGAGGTAAACTGTTAAGCCTCACAGGAACATCCTCTGTCTTGCCCACCATTCTATTGGGAAGCCCTAAACCAGTGTCCAGCTTAGAGTTCGGATTCCTATTTGTTAAATGTGTCTTTAACATTTACAATCAATCCCAAAGGATCCATATCATTTCCATTTTACAGAAGAGAAAACTGAGGTAAAACAGATACAGCCTGCCCAAGGTTATCTGTCTAATAAAAAACAGAGCTGAGGTTGGAACCTGTGGACATGTGATGGAGATGTCTTCCCTCTAGCACTTCTGCTCACTGAGAACTTTGACCCGTGCAGTGGTCAAAACATTCAAATATCTGATAGATGAGGAATGGATGCTACTTATATTTTACCAGAAATAAACATATTGCATGTAATACTTTGAAATCAAGCCAAACTTTATCTTGGAATTTCTACTGTATTAGTTAAGTTCTAGTTATTTAGTCCAATATATG